TTTTGGGCTGAGGAACTTGAAGAGTTTGTTACCTTTTTTTCATTGTATTTCAATGTATCTCGTTGTATTCCATGTATTTCATTGTATTCACTGTCTATTTTTTTATTATATTTCAACTATCTCGCGGTATTCCATGTATTCACTGTCTCAATGTATTCATATGTTTTTTAATTAATATAATTTATGTATTCAGATGTATATATGTATTTAAATGTATCAACAGTATGTATTCATATATTTTTGCACTATAGATGACCTGCTATACTTCATGTGTTCAATGTATTTTTATGTATTTAACTGTATTCAATGTAATTATATAATTTTAATATATAAATCTATTTGTAAAGATACCACTAAAAAAAAGATGGATTGAATTTCTGAAGATCGCTCTGTTTTGGGGTATTTTTCGGTTGAGAATCTTTTCTATAACTGGAAATACAAATTTTGTGTGTTATAATTGAGTTTGTTGAGTTATATTATGAGTCTATCGTATTAATTGATTCATTTACCATTTTTAAACAGCTGAAGACTTCTTCTTTTTTTTGCAAATTCCATTACTATATTCACGAATACAGCTCGCGAATATAGTCGAATACATTCTCTGCTTAACTGGACTCCCCTATTTTTCACCGAGTTTTGCTATTGTTTTCATGAATACAGTAGCAAAAATACATCGAATATAGTCTATAACAACTGAAAACATAGTTATACGAAGTAATTTAGTAAATGGTAGATATAGCAAGCTAATAATCACTCAAACATAGTGGTTTCTAAAAATTTCTCTTTTCAAAAATGACTATTGTTTTTTTTTTAATAATAAGGATATTTATATTATAGAAGCATTAAAGATTGTTCTTAGTACATAAGATCTGAGAATGCAGCTTGTCACGGCTTGGTAGCCCAATGTTTGTGACATTCTGGTTGCCTAGGAGTATTAGTCTATTACAAGCCGTAATGTCTAGTGACTTCTTGAAAAGGTAAACAACATCCATATCTTTAGCAAGTTGAGAGTTAACAAAATGAGGTGGTGTTGGATGTAGTTTTGTTGTCTTCTTGCATGGTTGCCAAAAGGTGTCTTTGTTTACATCTGTTGCCAAAAGATGAGCTACTTGGTTTCCTTCCCGGAAGTTATGCCGTAGAGACAGGTCCTTCCGCTGGAGCATCAATAACCTGCATACATGAATAATATTAGTCATTACAAGATGATCATTATTAAGTGCATGGATAGCATCAGTGGAGTCTGTTTCGATTTCTAGTGAAAATAGGTTGTAATGAGTTGCTATATTCATGCCTTCATGGATTGCCTAAAGTTCTGCATGAAGAGGTGATATAGCTTTATCCATTTTCTTATAACCTAATATCAAACTTCCTTTGTTTTCGCGGAACACTCCCCCAATACTAGTTTTATTACCTTCGTGTTTAAAAGCACCATCCGTGTTTAGTTTGTACCAGTCGCGTTGTGGGGGATACCATTTTATGTTAATGTTGGGTTTATCCACAGTTGTTGTGCCAGTGGAGTTGAAAAAGAGGAATTCATAGGCTAGGTTAGAGATGTCTTTCATACGGGGGGAGTAGTGGGTGTTATTGATATTGTTATTGTTTCTATTGATCCAGATCCCCCGTAGAAGGAAAGATAGGAGATTGTTCCAAGGAATTTTCAGGGGAATTGGGTTTATGTCTCTCAGCGTGGTTAGCCAGTATTTGTCTGGATCAGTGTTCATATTTCTGATATTGAACAGTCTCCATATCATTGAGACTATGGGACATGTGAGGAAAATATGAGTGATGGTTTCCTCTTGGTTTTTGCAACTAGGGCAATTGGGGTTTATATTTATTCCAATGTGATGGAGATATGAACGGCAAGGAATCTTATTATGAAGGATTTGCCAAAAGAAGTATCTTATTTTGTTAGGGCAAGGTAGTTGCCATATCCACATAAAGTCTTGGTTAATAATGTCCCCATGGATTAGTAAGTTGTAGCAAGATTTTGTGTTGAATATCCCGTTTGGGCTGAAACTCCAAAGGGGTTTATCTATGCTTTGGAGGGGTGAGGGGATAGAATTGATTTTGTCCATGATAGAGGAAGGGATAGTAAAAGAAGTTTCCCGAAAATTCCATCTTCCTTTGTAGTATAATATCTTAATAGGAAGGTTAGCTTCATTTTTGTTTAGAGAGCCCTCAATGCTAGCTCTAAGAGTTGAGACTTGAGGGATCCATTGGGTCTCCCAACTATTAAGATTAGAGCTTTTGCCCGGAAGCCATTGAATTCCTTGGTTACAAATTTTCCAGCCAGTAACAACACTTTTCCAAATGAAGGAGGTGTGTTTGATATTCCTTTTGCAGTATTTGCGTATTAGGATATTTGCCCAGGGTGATGAGGTATTGTTAATGAGTCTCCAAGAGAGACTACCTAGTAAAAATTTATTCTTTAAAAGGGCATCTTTCATTCCTAGACCACCTAGAGTTTTAGGCTTGGTAATAGTGTTCCAATTAATGAGGTGAAGTTGTTTCTGATTTGACGTAGTGCCCCAAACAAAATTCCTTTACATTTGATCAATAAGTTTAAGGGTTTTTTTTGGGGAGCAAAGTATATTGCATTGCATGGTTTGGGAGAGAGTTGAGAGTAGCAAGGGCTAAGGTAGTCCTACCAGCTATGTTTAGAAAATTAGTTTTCCAATTTGAAAGTTTGTCCCGCATTTGCTCAATGATGAATTGGTAGTCTTTTGCTTTGGGAGCATTGTTAAGAATTGGAAACCCCAAGTAGTTGCCAAACTTATTGGCTATATTGATGTTAAAACCTGATGCTATTTCTTTGGTAACTTGAATAGGACAGTTTTGGGAGAACAAAATCTTTGATTTTCCCCTATTGATCTTTTGACTAGACATATTGCAAAAAGTATTAAGGCATTTTTTGATGGTTTGTAGGTTTCTTTTATCCGCTTTTGCCATGAGGGTAATATCATCTGCAAAAAACAAGTGAGATATGCTAGTGTTATGGTTGTTTAGTCTAATGGGGTCCTAAAGATTGATGTCAACTTGGTGACAAATTAGTCAGGATAGCATTTTCATGCACAAAATGAATATGAAGGGGGATAGGGGGCAGCCTTGTCTGATACCCCTACTTGGTGCAAAGAAAGAGGTTGTAGTGCCATTTACTAAAATGGCAATGTTGCTAGTGCTGATGCAATTCATAATAAGATTTTTTATGTTAGTAGGGAATTGGAAGTAAGAAAGGGTTAAGTAGATGAAAGACCATTTCAATCTGTCCAAGGCTTTTTCCAGATCTAATTTTAGAATCTTGTAGCATTTTTTCCCTTTCATTTTTTTAAAATGGCACATCATTTCTTGGATTATGATGGCATTATTAGAAGACCTTCTCCCTTTTAAGAAGCTAGCTTGGAAAGGACTTATAATTTGGTTGAGGAAAGGTTGAATTCTATTGGCAATGATTTTGGTAATGATTTTCTAAATAGTATTGCAAAGTCCTATAGGCCTAAAGTTTTTCAAATTATTGGCATTTGGGACTTTGGGGATTAGACAAATGTAGGTGTTGTTGATATTATTAGGTAGAGATTGAGTATTAAATACTTGGGTACATAAATCTATAACTGATTTATACAATGCTCCAATATTTATGGTAGAAAAAGGGATGTATGCCATCTGGACCTGGGGATTTAAACGGTTTGAAGGAAAAGACTGCCTTGTAGATTTCTCTCTTTACAAGTTGATTGTCCAGGGTAGAGAGATCAAGGTTGTTAAAAGTTTTTGGATTGTTTTTAATAAGAGACCAATTGGAGGCAGAATGATCAGTTTGGAAGGCATTCTCAAAGTAGTTGAGTGTGTGGTCTAGGATTTTGTTAGGTTCATTGATCCAATTACCAAATTCGTCTTTGAAATAAATGATTTTGTTTTTCCTAGCTCTATTGGTTGCACCAATATGAAAGAATTTTGTATTCGCGTCACCTTCTTGAATCCAGGACATTATGGCTCTAATTCTCCAGTATTCATCTTCTAATTTAAGAATCTCTCTATACTCTTGTTGAAGATTAGATTCTAAGTTCTGTAAATAAAAATTGGAGTTATAGTTATTGGAGCATTGAATGCCGTTTAGTCTAGCAATAATCCTAAATTTTTTAAGGTGAATGTATCCAAAATACTTTCTACTCCCCTGTATGATATTACCTCTAAAGTGTTTGGAGCTATGAATATAGTTGGAGTTACTCCAACTGTTTCTAACTAAATTTATGAAATCCGGATGACGACACCAAAATGTCTCTAGTCGGAAAGGTTTTTTAAAGGTGTTATATTTTATAGGGTTGCAAGTGATCAATAAGGGGTTATGATCCGAGTGGATTCTAGGGAGATGAGTAATGTAAGCATCAGGGCAAGATTCAACCCACTCCTTATTGGCAAACACCCTATCTAACCTTTCTAGAATGAGGCATTTGTTTTTTTTCTTTTATTCGACCACGTAAATTTAGGACCTTTGAAGCCTAGGTCAATAAGATTACAATGGTTAATAAAATCCCACAGAACCTTTGCTCTATTTTGATTAATTTTTCTACCACCTAATTTCTCATCGGAGCATATGACATCATTGAAATCACCCCCTATTAACCAAGGACCACTAATTTTACTATGCATGTCTAATAAATTGTTCCACATAGTATTCTTAATTTTACTATCATTACTAGCATAAATAGAAGTAAAATACCAAGTTTTGTTAAGGGAGAATACCTCAATTGTGGCACTAATTTCCTGGCTTCTACGCACAAAGCTATGGACCATAACCTTGGTATGATCCCACAAGATAACCATACCTCCCGACTGGCCATCTGCTGGAATCTCTATAATATCTGTGAATCCAAAAGGATTGAGGAGAGAAAGGTGGATGTCCATCTTGGTTTCCAAAAGTCTAACCATACTAGGGTGATGTGTTTCAATTAGATCCCTGAAGCTTAACCTAAAACTATCATTGTTACCCCCTATTATGTTCCAAACTATTCATGTTTAAGAGCGGGTTGTTCAAGTCTCCATTTTCCCTCATTCTCTTTGGGAATATGGGATTCCTCCTCTGAAAAGGAACGAGAATCATTGTGTGTTTTCCTACGGTAGGGTCTGCTGGTGGTCTTATGTCCATTGTGCACTTGTACATTGCCAATGGACAGTATATAATTTTCTTCTGCTCTTGCCTCTCCATAAATAGAAAGATTTTTAGATCGTCTAGGTTTGAATCCTCGACCACGTTTTGAGGGATCAAGTTTACTGGATCGATTTCTTCCTCCATTGCCTGCTCCATTTGGTTTTGATTTTGATGAGGGTGAGGGGTTTGCATGGCTTGGACAACTGGTACATCTGGAGGTGGTGGAGGGTTTGCATGTGCAATCCAAGGTGTGAACACTGGATTCATGGTGGTTAGGAATTTCAGGGTGAAGAAGGGTAGATCCGCAACCGGAATTGGGTTCTAAATTTTGACAAAGTTTGGAGGCATATTCCAGTCCCCCCTCATTGCTTGAATTTGGTTGGTGGTGAGAGATGGGGCTATGGGGTTTAGGATGTTGTTCAACCATATTTAGTTGATGTAATTGTTCATCGCCATGCGAACTCCTTTGGATATCAGTTGAGCAATGAAGTGAGAATTTTGGATCACTATCACTGTTTCCCTCCCTTCTAGTGTGATGTTGAAGGAGAGTGCATGGCCTAGAAGCCCCATTTTCAGCCAGGATAATGGTTGATGGTTCTGAGGAAGAGGACGTTGGATCAATATCCTCCTTGGCTGATTGTTTTGGTTCTGATTCTGGCGGTTTTGAGGAGGATTGGGTTCCATGTTTGAGTTGAGTGTTATTCTTTGGAGTTGGATGAGGCGATGGTGTCTTCTTACTAAGATTGGGATTCTGGGCATTTTTGATAGAATTTGGACAATTTAATGGGGATAGAGGAACAATCAAATTGGTAGAGTTAATGTTTCCTAGGATCGCAATGATTGATTTGTTTTCTTGCATGCAAACTGACTGGTTTGGCGTGTATTTAATAGAGATTTTCTGGTTCTTGAGCGGATTGGGATGGGGTGTCTTTTTGTGGGGAATATCAATGGCCATTTGTTCATTGGCTTGGTTATCGCTTGACAGATGTTTACTGTCAGATTCTGCATGCAAGGGATAGGAGTTGGTTGGGTTAATGTTGCACGTTAGAGGGGTGTTAGGGGTAGGATTAATAGGATCTTCATTAGGGGGGTGCTGTAAGGTAGGGTGGTACTATGGGTGTTATTAGGGTTTGATTGGGTGAGAGGCATGGTGGGTGTAGCTGGTAGGGGGGAATGTTTGGGTGTGTGGGGTGAAAAATGAGCCAATTGTTTTATCTATTATTTTATTGGTAATATCCTTGTTAGGGAGATTAGTGTTTTGATTATTTTTAACGGGTTTTTTTATTGTGGATTGTGAGAATATTATCGTAATTAATATTGGTAATGTTTGTATTAAGGTTGTTACTCACGTCATTAGAGTAATTATCATCTGAGTTGGTTTGTTCCAGCACATGAAAATTGCTAGAGTTTTTGCTAGGGTTTGGGAGAGGGGTTGTTTTACCATTGTTGGAAGATTGTAATTGGTGAGATTTAGTTTTGTAACAAAACTTTTGAGAGGATAGAAATTTACCTGACTTGGCTTCAAAAATATTTACGCTAATACCTGGTTCTTAAACAATCTCTGGTAATTCTGAGACATTTCTTGGGAGATCTCTTCGTTTACCTCTTTTAAAAGGGATAGTTTTCCATAATCCTTCCAACTTGGTTTGCCCGGATTGGATTGTGTCTAGATCCTTGATGAGTGGTTCCTGCCTTTGAATGGTCTTGGGTTAATTGCACTGAGTTGTTACATGGCCTAGGTGACCACATGTTGTACATAGTAATTTGTCACCTTCATAGTGGATATGTTGTTTGTGAGATCCTCTAAAGAGGAACAGGGTGACAGGTTTGTTTAGAGGGAGTTCCACACAAAGACAATCATATCTCCCTCGGAGGGCTGCCGACGTACAAGCATCAATTTTCAAGAGTCTTCCTATTGAGCTTCCTACTTTTTGTAGTATTTCCTTGTCGTAAAATTCAATGAGATGTTGGGGAAGTCGAATCCAGATTGCAGTAAAAGATTGTGTTGCTTTGCTTTAGATGCTACAAAATTTAGAATCCATCGTTGGACTGAGAGGAAGTGACCATAGATAAACCATGGATCTTTTTGGAATACATTAGTCATGTTCTCTTCTTTAATGAATCAAACGATATAGTAGTCCTCCCCTATATCGTTCGATTACATTAGATGTTGTTTCTTTTTCAACAAATCATGAGAGATCCTCTTCCCTTGTAACTTAATGATTAAAGAGTACCTCCATGGAAGGTAGATTCTTTGTTTATCTTCGTTCGTAATAGGTACTGAGATGTTATACTCGTGGGAGGGAATTGATGGTTCGCTTGGGATCTCTGTGCCATAGTGGAAATCCATTAGGACTTGTTGTGGAGGTGATGAATCATAGGTTAGATCTATATTAAGGCTCATCTCTTTGTTAAGGAGTTTATCCTTAAAAGAAATAGGTTCCTTTGTCATGGATTTGACTTCCATGGGGCTGGTGACATCCGGTGGTTTGGGGGGAATTGTTAAGGAGTTGGGTGTTGGTGGCATTTAGACACACTGGTGGTGTTTCAAAGTCTTGACTAGAGAGAAAAACTTTCAAGTATTGAGATGTGTATTCATTTTTTAAAAAAATGACTATTGTTTAGTGGCTATTAACTTGCTATAGCTACCATATACATAATTACTTTCCGTAGTTATCTTTCAGTTGTTATGGTAATATATTTGATGTATTCAAGCTACTGTATTCATGAATACAGTAGCAAAAATCGGCTAAAAAATAGGACATTCCAACTGTCAGCCACTGTATTTACATGTATTCATACCATGTATTCATGAATACAATGTAATAATAGGTCTCTTTAGTTGTTTAATAACGGTAAGCTGCTTATTTAACGGGATACACTCATAATATAACTCACCTAAATCAATTATAACACACAACATTATCAATCCAATTAATGAGAAGATTTATCAGACGCTAAACACCAAAAAATAGAGTATTCTTCAGAGTTTCAGTCCCTTTTTTTTTCTGATACAGTTTGAGTTTTTTTTTTTCCTGACATTGTTCGATGTATTCAAGTTTATTTTTGGTTCACAATATTTTATTTAATCCTAATACATGGTATTACTATTTTATTTGAGTATATTTCATTGGTTGTATATATTGATTTTCTATTTGTATTGAGAGTATTTTACTGTATTTTATTGTATTATTATTTTAAATAAAGATGGATACAATTAAGTTGAAAATACTGATGAATACAGTTATATTGAATGCATAACTAATTGATGAATAATATTAAAATGATAGAACTAACAATGTATCTAAAAATATTGTAGTATGAACTCAAATACATGTAAATACATCTAAATACAACAGTCAAAAATCACTATACAAAATAAAAATCAGTGTATGCATTATCGAATACATATAAATACATCTAAATACAAGAAGAGAAAACCACTGTACAAACTAAAAATCAATGTATGCTGACCCGAATACATATAAATATATCTACAATTAGGGTCATTGCGTATTTTTGTTCTCCTTTCGGCTTCAATGGTTGTTGATGAACCTGCAAATACATTTCAATTGTTATGTGTGAATGGTTTAACCCATTTTCCCAAACATAATCCTAATCTCATTAGCCATTGCCACCCTCTACTCTATCCTTTCCTCTTTCATGTCAACATTCAAAATTAATTCAGCTATGAACAGACTATGTCCACTCCACTTTGGGAAAAGATACAACTCATATTAAAATTTTTGATCAAGACATTTTGAAACTCATGTTAATAGAGCTGAAAACCAGCAAATCTACTCTAGGGTTTGAGAACAATCTAGAGAAAGAACCTGCAAACAAAAGGAGAATCATGGTTCAACAATGGGGAAGACAATGGCGTTGTGAGAGAGAGATCGTGTAGAGAGAAATAAGATACTATGCGATAATTTTGGGAAAGAATAAACTAAAAGAATGAAAATATCAGACAACGTATTTAATGGCTTAACGATAGGATGTGATAATAAATACATATTTTGCTATAAAAACTAAAAGATAGTTATAGAAAATAATATTTTAAAAGAATTTTTATTTATAATAAATAGGGTGTAAAGCTTTTCTATAGGAGGTAAAATTTCCTTCTTTGTAATTGTATATAGGCACTAAGTTGTAAAGGAAAAAGGCAGCAGATTATTTCTTTCAGATATGAAATAATATTTCTCCTTCTCTCTTCGAGATTAGGTGTAATGACCCGGACGGTTGTTACGAGAGTAACAGCCTGTTCCCCCATTTTCTACTTCTTTTTCATTCTTTAGCTATATTATGATATACCAAATTAGTTTGTTCGGGTCTGGAGTGGTTTCAGAGTAAATTGAGACACATAGTCTCTTAATTGAAAGCTTAAGTTGGAAAAGTTGACTGGATATTGACTTATGTATAAATGAGGGATTTGAATTTTTATGGTCTCATTAGCTCCGTTAGGTGATTTTAGACTTAGGAGTGTGTCTGAAATGTGATTTGGAAGTTTGTAGTAGAATTAGGCTTGAATTGGCGAAAGTTAGAATTTTGGCGATTTTGGTCGGCATGAAGATTTTTGATACCAGGGTTGGATTGGATTTTCGGAAGTTGGAGTAGGCTCGTGGTGTCATTTCTGACTTGTGTGCAAAATTTGAGGTCAAGCGGACGTAGTTTGGTAGGTTTCGGTGTTTTTTGTGGAGTTCGAAAGTTTAAAAGTTCTTTAGGCTTGAATTCGGGTGTAATTTGGTGTTTTGATGTTATTTTAAGTGATTCGAAGGCTTGACTAAGTTCGTATGATGATATAGAACATGTTTGCATGTTTGGTTGTGGTCCTGGGGGTCTCAGAGTGATTTTGGGTGGTTGACGGCTTGATTTGAGTTGAGGAATTGCAGCTGAAGTGTTGCTGCTACTAGTGTAACCAGACCTGCGGAGTGGGAACCGCAGGTGCAAGCCCACAGAAGAGAAGGAGGAGCCGCAGAAGCAGCCAAGAATGAGCTGGGCAGGATTCGCATGTCAAAGATTTTCCCGCACTTGCGAGAGTCGCAGATGCGGACAGCAGGGCGCAGGTGCGAGAGGGAGCCGCGGGTGCGAAGGATTTCCGCATCTGCGATATGCACAGATGCAGTCATGGGGTGCAGGAGAAGATTCTTTGATTTTAAGTGAAATCCGCACCTGCGATGGATTTTCCGCAGGTGCGGCGTCGCAGAAGCGTTAAAGGTCCGCAAGTGCAGTATTTCTAGGCAGAAAAATACCAGCTCGATTTTTGGACTTCCATCTTCGATTTTAGACTTGAGAAGCTCGGTAGAGAGGCTATTTTTCGAAGATTTCATGGAGAACATTGGGGTAAGTGATTATAACCCAGATTGGTCTAAATTTTGTGAATCTATGGCATTCTTCATCATCTAATTAAGGATTTGAGCTAGAAATTTGGGGGTTTAGGGCTTGAGAATTAGAGAGTAAATTTTGGGGTTTTGGATGACCAAATGACATCGAATTTTGATAAATTTAGTATGGTTAGACTCGTGAGTGAATGGGCTTTCGGGTTTTGTGACTTTTGTTGGATTTTGAGACGTGGGCTCAGAGGGCCAGGTTTGAGTTGATTTCGGATTTTGGCTCTAATTTGGTAGTTTTCTTGTGGAATTGATCCCTTTAGACTATATTGATTGTATTGTATTACTTGTGGCTAGATTCAAGATGTTTGGAGACTGATTTGAGAGGCAAGGGCATTGCGGACTAGGATTTTTCTCGGCTCGAGGTAAGTAACACTTTCAAACTTGGTTATGAGTCGAAACCCCAAATTATGTGATATGTGATTAGTATTATGGTGACGCATATGCCAAGTGACGAGCTACGGGCGTGCACCGTGAGAATTATGGCCCGGGTGATTCCATGGAACCGTTTAGTGACTCTATCCTGTTGATATCCATGTTTTAATCATGTGGTAAAGTAATTTAGTTG